ATCTCACAAAAAAGGAGGATAACAGAAATGATTAAGAAAGCCTACAACTTGTATTTTGGCTGCAAGATAGGAGACCAGGACAAGAGCTGGGCACCACATATATGCTGCAATTCTTGTGGGACGGCACTGGAGCAATGGTTGATCGGAAAAAAAGGCATCTATGCCTTTCGCTGTGCCAATGATTTGGAGAGAGCCAACAGATCATGTTAGTAATTGTTACTTTTGTATGGTGCCTCCAATTGTAAAAGGGCTAAATAAGAAGAAAAAGTTATCTGTGCACTATCCAAATATTCCATCGGCAATACGTCCAGTTCCTCATGGAGAGGGGCTACCAATTCCTAAAGCACCAGAATCCTTCGTGGTTGAGTCAAGTGAGGAAGAACCTGAAGCGTGTAGTCACGTGCAGTTGTAAGAGATAGCCCTTTCCTCGAATACAAGAGAAAAGCCAAGAGAAGCAAAACCGACACAAACTGAAGACAAAACTAGTGAGAATCCTAAGTATTAAAATGATTCAACTTAGCTTATGCCTATAATTTTTCTTGGTAATCCTATGCAATATATTATGCCATTTAGGCTTTGTTATGTAGTCAATATCACTTGCTTTATATTTGTGGAAAGACATCTATCTATATAATTATTGTGCATTATGTAGTCATTACGCCTATAGTAGAAAACTTTCCGTTTACAGAAAAACTAGAGCCAATTTACAAATTTCATTGTTATATTTGAACTCAGAATGTGAAATTCATTAAGAAATGGATCCTTTTGTTTCCAAAACTGGCAAAAAATAAAAAAATTTGTTGAACAGTGTTATATACTTTGTGCTAAAGATGTCCCTCTTTTCCACATCAGAAAGATGTAATGTGATGATAAAGGGCTCACAAGAACAAACACACACACCATGCCAGATTTGTAAAATGTCAGAGTGTGTATAGGAGACAAAACAAAGAAGTGGCATTGCAGGATTATACCAACTCTTCTCCACAGTCCCTACCAAACTATTGCAGGCCATAGACGGGTCGTTTATCGGCCAAATTTTCGTACGCACGAAAAATCTTCCAATATTCATGCCACTAGTGGGGCCAGCCTGTCGGCCGTTTTTCGCAGATCTTCTCACTTAGTTTTATCGGTCATGCTGGAAAATCGGCAAAAAACGGCCGTTTTTCGTGGATATGGGAGGCAGCATCAGCAACGGGTCTGGCCGATTTTTCATTTATCGGCTGAAAATTCAGCCGATAAACGGCCCGTCTATGGCCTGCCTATGTCATACATTGGCTTGGGAGACAGACCTGGCCTCAGATCAGAGAGGACTAATGTGACTCTCAGAAGCTAATTATAAAGGTCCTGTTATTAGTATCTGGTGCCCATCAGACTTGCCAAAACATACAATATACACAATATTTTGATACACCCGTGCTAGTTTTGTACTTCTGTCTGTTCACCAATAGAACCACAGTGGCATTCATTTATAACAATTAGCTAAACAATTTGTTTTTCCACAATTTTCTACTAAATGCTTTAATGCTTTTAAATGCTTCTACCCCCTCTACCCCTTGTCCTGTTATCAGCATTTAGGCCAGGTTCACATCTGTGCATCTTTTTATGCATTTTGCAGGAATGCATATCATGATTTCCTATGGATCACGTTCACATCTACCTGTATGCTTTTTCTTTGGAAAGTGTCAGGGACTTCTTTTCCCGCAGCAGTTAGTGTTTTTTAAGTCCAATAGACTTCAATGGAACTGCATATAAAATGCAAATGTTGCGTTTTTGTACACATTCTGATGTGCTTTTGCATTTTTACACTTTCTTTTATGCGTTTTTAATCTGCCCAGCAAAAAGTTGGCCAACAAAATAGATAAAAGCGCAAAATGCATAAAAACGCATAAAAAACACATATGCAAAAATGCACTGCAAAAAGCTCTGCAGAAACAGATCAAACACAAACTGCATAGGTGGGAACCTAGCCTTACCCTTGCATGCGCATTCCTTGTGTTTTCTGAATGGAAAAGCACCGATGCAAAGAAGCATCAGCATTTACACATGCATGCAGAAAATATGTTGAATGCACATGAAAGCGTAAATCGTAATGCGAAAAAAAATCCGGATTTACAAGAGTACGCCCAGTCATTTGTATGCCAGGCTGTACTGTACACAGCACGAGTGGCTCCCCAGGCATAGGAAAGTGCTGAAAAATTTACACTAGGTGCAAAAAATGCCCACAAATATCTGTTTTGTGTGTGTGCACATGAATTCTTACAGTTCAGTTCAGCTTTAGAAAATCTGAAAATAATGATTTGTAACCAGCGGCGGTCTTTAACCACTTGCTGACCGCGCATAGCCGAAAGACGGCTTCACCGCGGCCGGCCAGTTCTGAGTGGACGTCATATGACGTCCTCCCAGAACGCGCTCTCCTGGGGCGCGCACCCGGCGATCTCCGTGATCGCTGTGTCCTACGGACACAGCTGATCACGTGATGTGGTGAAAGGCCGATCCCACCAGCCTTTTACCACGTGATCAGCGGTGTCCAATGACACGCTGATCACAGGAAAATGCAAGTGCCGGTTCTCGGCTGCACTTTCCTCACGCTGTCAGATCGTGAGGAAAGTACTGCCGAGAACCGGCAGTTGTCAGAGCGGGGATCGGCACCGATCATCAGGGCACTGATGATCAGTGCCCTGATGATCGGTGCCCAGCAGTGACCCCCGCAAGTTCCGATCAGCAGTGCGCCCACTAGCCCCGCCCACCCATTCCCAGCAGTGCCCCCACCTGTGCCCAGCAGTGCCCCCACCTGTGCCACTCTGCAGTGCCACCTACCTGTGCCCAGAAGTGCCACCTACATGTGCCCAGCAGTGCCACCCACCTGTGCCCACCCACCTGTGCCCACCAGTGCCACCCACCTGTGCCCACCAGTGCCACCCACCTGTGCCCACCCACCAGTGCTGTCCACCAGTGCCACCCACCAGTGCTGCCAGTCAGTGCCACCAGTCAGTGCCCAGGGGTTGTGCCAGTCAGTGCCCAGAAGTGATGCCAGTCAGTGCCGTCTATCAGTACCCATCATCAGTGTCACCTATCAGTGCCGCCTATCAGTGCTGCATATCAGTGCCGCCTATCCGTGACCCCTAATTAGTGCTGTCTATCAGTGCCGCCTATCCGTGCCACCTCATTAGTACTGCCTATCAGTGCCCTTTAGTGCTGCCTATCAGTGCCCATCAGTGCCGCCTATCAGTGCCCATCAGTGCCGCCTCATCAACGCAAATCAGTGAAGGAGAAAAAATACCTGTTTGAAAAATTTTATAAAAGAAACAAATAAACTTTTTTTTTTTTTTCAAATTTTTTGCACTTTTTTTAATTTATAGCGCAAAAAGTAAAGCGCCCAGTGGCGATTAAATACCACCAAAAGAAAGCTCTATTTGTGAGAAAAAAAATGATCAAAATTTCATATGGGTACAATGTTGCATGACCGCGCAATTGTCAATCAAAGTGCGGCAGCGCTGAAAGCTGAAAATTGGCCTGGTAAGGAAGGGGGTATAAGTGCCCGGTAGGCAAGTGGTTAAAAAATTGTCAGTTACCACAAAATATATTTCACTGTGTTAATATTCCCTTTTATTACAACATAATTAAACTGTATATAAACCCAAGATCAATGTAATGCTACCACACTGACGGACTAGTGAGCTGCAATATATTCCATTTTTGTTCCTGGGTTTAGCTATGCTTTAAATTGGGTGTAGAAACGGTCTAAAGTCACTCTATAAACACGTGAAATTATAATTTGGTTGAAAAAATTAAAATGGCAAAACTCTCTTTGCCAGCCTAGAGAAGCCCCTTCATGTAGACAAACTAATGAAGGCCTACTTTTGAGTGGTTGTGATGCACAACACTTTAAACTTTATGTAAAATAGCCAGTGTACACACATTCCACAGCAATTCCAAGTGAAACATCATTACTGTAGAACTTTGTAGAGGCAATTTGTAATTCTGTGTTGCTTAAATGAACAGTAATAAAGAGCAATATGTAAGGAATTCTAAATATTTTAAATATGTTGCCAAGTCATCCGTCAGGAAGAAAGATTAGTGGGAACTGCTTGGACACATGCTGGGGGACATTAGAAACACGAGGCCAAATTAGGCATTCTGTATAGTTGACCACCACTGTGAATTTTTCATTATGACACAGCCCAACAAAGAAGCTACTCCACTGGCAATAATGTGTACCTTGTAATCTAACCATTTTCCATCCAAATCAGTGGATGATGCATTTATGTTACAGGTTATAGCAATATCCAGGGTGTAACAAGTTACGAATGGATCAGCCCTCACACCGCCACCTGATCCCCCGTTGTGGCAGCTAGCGGTGGATCCTCTCCCCTTTAAGAAAATATGGCCATGCAGGGCTCCATCACTCATTCACTGTAATTTGTGAATAAGAAAACTTTGAAAGTTTCGACAACCTTTGCGGCTGTTGGCTTGCAGTTCTCAACAAACTACCACGGCACTGTGGAGCATTGTCGTAGTTCATTGATTCTTCCTGTCAGAGTGTATCGGCTTGCCTGTAAGATGTACACTGACAAGTCTGCAGGAGACCTGCGTGGCACCAGTGATCTGCTGATCGCTGAAGCAATGCTTTAGAGGCTCCAGAAACAAAAAAATAGTATATGCACATTTTTTTACCTGCAAAAAAGATGTACACTTATTATTTTTATTAAAAGGTGAACTTATCCTTTAACCAGTTCTACGCTGCCCTATAGCAGAAATACTGCTACAGGGCGGCATGGGTCGGCAAAATCACGTATATATACATACACACACACACGATTTTGCAGTTCTGGGAAGGGGGCACACATGCTCCCTACCCACGCTGCCATTCGCGGACTCGGCTGTCAATCACTGGGTCCTGGACGGTGATTACTCGCCAGCACCCGATGATCACTAACTAGCTCAGACGGGGGAGAGACCTATATATAAGCACAGATCTCTCCCCTGTCAGCTCCTGCACACTGCTTTGTATGGCTCTGCATAGCAGAGCCATACAAAGCAGTGTGCTTACAGTGGAAAACAATCACACAGCACACAGGGAAACAGCACACAGTTAACCCTTTGATCGCCCACGTTAACCCCTTCCTGCCCAGTGCCAGTACATTTTATTAGCACTGATCACTGTATTGGTGTCACTGGGGATGTCAGTGACACCAAGTCAGTTCCCCCCAGTGTCAGAATGCCCGCCGCAGTCCCGATATAAGTCACTGATCGCCGTCATTACTAGTAGACAAAAAAAAAAATTCCAGTATATATACCGCCATTTGTAAACGCTATAACTTTCACGTAAACCAATTATTTACATGTATTGGGATTTTTTTTTAGCACAGACATTTTGGCCTAAATTTATGACGAAATTTTATTTTTTAATTTTTTTTTACTGGACGTTAAATAGCAAAAAGTAAAAAATATTGCTTTTTTTCTCAAAATTGTCAATTTGTTTTGTTTATAGCGCAGATAAAAAAAACGCACAGGCAATCAAATGCCACCAAAATAAACCTCTATTTGTGGGGAAAAAAAAAGACATAAATTTAATTTGGGTGCAGCGTTGCATGACCACACAATTGTTAAAATAAATGCAGTGCCGTATCACAAAAAATGGCCTACTCAGAAAGGGGGGTCCTCTGGAGGGGAAATCATTTGACTTGTCAGTTTGCTCATTAACATTAATTTGCAACTACCCTAACATACAGATGACCCAAATGAACTGATCAGATTATGAATAGGATACCTCCCAACAACAGCATGAATAAATTAATGTTTCTGAGATACTGTAAGCACAATTCCTATGCCACTTTCACACTGATTCGCCGCAAAAACGCCTAAAAAAACGCATAGGCGTTTTTACCGTGTTTTTTGAAGGACACGTGACTTAAAACTGCACCAAAAACACTTCTCAGAGGTGTTTTAAAGCGTTTTCCATTGATTTCAATGGGAAGAGGTGTTTTTGGGGCTTTTTTTTTTTTAACTCAACAAACAAGACCCAAAGATGCTGCAAGCAGGAGTTTTTACACCGCAAAGTAGATATACAATCACATACACAGGGAAGCAGTTTTCTTGAGCTTTTCAGGCGTTTTTTTTATACGCAAAAACACTTCTCAGTGTGAAAGTAGCCTTAGCATGCATGTTAAAAATCAGTGTCCAGTGCCGGAATCTCAATCTATTAATGTGACTATTGCCAAAATTCACTAAAAAAAACAAGCAGTTAAAGTAATATTAAAGTCTTGTTTTAAAAAAAACAAAAAACAACATGTTATACTTACCTGCTCTGTGCAATGGTTTTGCACAGAGCAGCTCAGATCCTCCTCTTCTCAGGTCCCCTGCCTGCTCCTGGTACCTCCCTCCTGCTAAGTGCCCCCAGAGCGAGGAGCTTGCTATGGGGGCACCCAAGCAGACGCGTTCTTTAGCCACGGTTCTATGTGTCCATTCACAGACATAGCTGCAGCTCGGCCCCTTCCTCTGCTGATTGGCTCACTGCTTGGGATTGACAGCAGCGAGAGTCAGTGCCTCCAGCCAAATCAGGAGTGGGTCTCCTGAGAGTCGAGGCTCTTGTGGACATTGCTGGATCTAGAGGGAGCTAAGATAAGGGGTTGGCTGGGGGCACTGCTGCACACAGAAGGTTTTTTTACCTTCATGCAGTAAAAAATCTTGAGCCTTTAGAACCACTTTAAGCCACGTTTTTAACATCCCCTCACTCAGTCGCACACAAGACAGACAAAGATGTACACAGCTACAGCATTTTTATTAGCCCATTCAGATTGATGGGGCTAAACTGCAATCAAGAGCCAAACACTTAGCTTGCAGTTGCTGTGGGGTCCTGCAATGCAAGATTTCCTTTCTGCAAAAAAAAAAGAAAAAAAAAAAAAGCATCAGCAGTAGCACATGTCAACATGTCAGTCACTGCTATATCACCCTCTAAAAAGTGATCCAATGCAGAGCATAAGATTACCACCTGTCTAAAAAGAACCCTAAAGCAGGCAAAAATGGATCCATTCTTGGCTGGTTCTGCAGGGACCAGCTGAAATGTGATTTAATCCATCTATGCGCAGGCTGGTTGTAATGAAGTCATTCACTGATCGAATTAAATGTATATATATATATATATATATATATATATATATATATATATATAAAAAAATATTCAAGTATTATCTACAAGTATCATTTTACATAGCAGTGGTTGCATTTTGACAGCCATGCCTGCTATGAAACTCAAAGCAATTCCTGGCTGTCATTTTGACAGCTGGTACTTGCTGATAGCAGCAGAAAGAGCAGAAAGAAATGCAAGTGGAAGTTTTTCTTTTTTTTTTAATGCATCACTCAAAAGAATAAACAAACAAAAGCTTAAAAATATATTAATTGTAAAAAAAAAAAAAAAAAAAATCCAGCAGAAAAATAATAGCTAAGGGGAGGGATGAATTACCTAGGACTGATTAGGGTTAACTAAGTATTAGTAAGGGATAAATAGGAACACATGTTATTTCTCTTTAAATTATGTCATATGTAAAACAAAATGTCCCCTTTGATCTATCCTACATAGGAATGAAAAAACATGAACCTGTATTACTTAATGACTCTTGCATACTATCTGCAAGTTTCATATTGCACAGGAGCAGCTGCATTCGATAGTTGCTTCCGCTATGTAATTCATAGCAATTCCCATCTGTCATTTTAACAGCCTGTAATTGCCAGTAGTAGTAGTGGAGTGAGTGAGTAGAGACAGGGAAAAAAAAGCTGAACGTGGGTGATATGTCATCAAAAACTTCCACAAAGTTTCTAGGGCATAGCTCCAATGTATAAACTCCTCAAGTGGTTCAACAAATCTAACTAAATTCTCTCCAAATCCTACTATATTTTATTGTATCCACTTCTTTTAGCCCAGAACTAAATGTTAGACTTCTAGCAAAAAGATAAGTTTGGAGGCATACCTCCACCACTAAGATTGCAAGCTCACTAGTCTACTATACAGTATGTACCAGGGACAGACTGACAAATCATGGGGCCCCCGGGCAATAGGGGATCATGGGGCCCCTGTGTCCTCGCCCACACTCAAACCACACCCAAAAAAGCCTATGAAAGGTACTAGGGGCATCTCATGGGGCCCCCTATGTACCCCGGGCCCTCAGGCAGTGCCCGAGTATCCGAATGGTCAGTCCGCCCCTGGTATGTACTCTGTACAAATGTCAGGGAATGTGTTTGCTTTTATACAAAATAGTACTGTGACCTTGGAACACTGGAGGTGAATGGTATGTTCCACATGCTCTGTAGAATATGTCAGTGCTATATAAATCAAAATTAATATTAAAAACTAAACCAAGTAAATCCAAGGCAAACCAATTTAAAAATAAATCCTACTGAACTGTGGGTGAACAAGAGGTTTTACATATCTTAAGTCCTCCTGCAGAGAGGATAGTCTTTATCCTTCCCCTAAGGTCACATTTTTACCTTAGTCTGCTGCAACCAAATTACACTTTCATGTATGCATTAACAAGAAAAAGCACATAACAACTGCAGGGCCCTAAAGGGGAAAGCAGCCCCCTCCTTAAAACATTAGTCAAAACAGTAGCTCAGTACACAAACATCCCAGCTGAAAGGAAGTTTCAATGTATGCAGCCTCTTTTTGAAGAAGACAGGGACATGTCAGTACATCTCTATCATCTCTACAAGTCTCAACGCTTCCTCTACAACTAAGCACAAAGCTGGCCAGATCAAAGTAAAAGACTTTCAAAGTGTTGATTTGGAGAGGCACACTCTTGTCAGATCCTATTCACACCTATGCAGTTTGCATTTGATCCGTTTCTGCAGTGCTTTTTGTGGTGCGTTTTGCATTTTTGACAGATTTTTTTTTGCTTTTTTTTGGCCAACTTGTTGCTGGGCAGATTAAAAATGCAAAAGGCATCAAAAACACGTAAAAAACACGCCAAAACACACACACACCAAAACACAGCACTTGCATTTTATATGCGGTTCTATTTTAGTCTATAAGACTTAAAACGCAAACTTCTACGGGAAAAGAAGTCCCGCAAAAACTGCATAGATGTGAATGTGAGCCATAGGAAATCATGATAAATGGCATGCACAGTGTTCCTGCAAAACACAAAATGCATAAAAAAAATGCACAGGTGTGAACCTGGTCTAAACATGGATTGAAGACTGTTGCTGCTTTTGTTTATATTTGTCACACAGCATTTTTTGGCTTTTTTGTTATTTTTAAACACCTGTAATTTATCATTGTTTCCTGTGCTGGATTCCAAGTGTATGCTCGACTATGATACAATGGAGATTCTCAAGCCATGATTTTCACCATATATCATTAATGGGTGTGTATATATAACATTTTGATTGGAATTACATAAAATGCATCCAGAAAGTATTCCCAGCCTTAAACTTTTGCCACATTGTTATGTTACAGCCTTATTCCAAAATGAATTGAATTAAATTTTTCCCTCAACATTCTACAAACAATACCCCATAATGACAACATGAAAGAAGTTTGTTTTGAAATATTTGCAATTTATTAAAAACAAAATAAAAAAAAACCCACATGTACATAAGTATTCACAGCGTTTGCTCAATACTTTGTTGAAGCCCTTTTAGCACCAATTACAGCCTCAAGTAATTTTGAGTATGATGCTACAAGCTTGGCACACCTATTTTTTGGCAATTTCTCCCATTCTTCTTTGCAGTACCTCTTAAGCTCCATCAGGTTGGATGGGGAGTGTTGGTGCACAGCCATTTTCAGATCTCTCCAGAGATGTTCAATCAGGTTCAAGTCTGGGCTCTGGCTGGGCCACTCCAGGACATTCACAGAGTTGGCCCATAGCCACTCTTTTGTTATGAGGGCTGTGTGCTTAGGGTCGTTGTCCTGTTGAAAGATGAACTGTCTCCCCAGTCTAAGGTCTAGCGCGCTCTGGAACAGGTTTTCATCAAGGATATCTCTGTACATTGCTGCATTCCTTTTGATCTTGACTATTCTCCTAGTTCCTGCCTCTGAATAACATCCCCGCAGTATGATGCTGCCACCACCATACTTCACTGTAGGAATGGTATTGGCCAGGTGTTGAGCGGTGCTGTTTCCTCCAGACAGGATGCCTGGCATTCAGGCCGAAGAGTTCAATCTTTGTTTCATCAGACCAGAGAGTTTTGTTTCCTATGGTCTGGGAGTCCCTCAGGTGCCTTTTGGCAAACTGCCATTTGTCTTTTACGGAGGAGTGGCTTCCGTCTGGCCACTCTACAATACAGGCCTGATTGGTGGAGTGCTGCAGAGATGGCTGTTATTCTGGAAGGTTCTCCTCTCTCCACAGAGAAATACTGAAGCACTTTCAGAGTGACCATCAGGTACTTGGTTACCTACCTGGCTAAGGCCCTTCTCCCGATTGCTCATTTTGGCCAGACGGGCCACTCTAGGAAGATTCATGGTGGTTCCAAACTTCTTCCATTTACAAATGATGACTGTGCTCATTGGGACCTTCAATGCTGCAGAAATTTTTCTGTACCCTTCCCCAGATCTGTGTCTTGATACAATCCTGTCTTGGAGGTCTAAGGACAATTCCTTGGACTTCATGGCTTGGTTTGTGCTCTTACATGCACTGTTAACTTTGAGACCTTATATAGACAGGTTTATGCCTTTCCTAATCATGTCCAATCAACTGAATTTCCCACAGGTGGACTCCAATCAAGTTGTAGAACCATCTCAAGGATAATCAGTGGGAACAGGATGCACCAGAGCTCAATTTTGAGTGTCATTTCAAAGGCTATGAATACTTATGTACATGTGGTTTTTTAATTTTTAATAAATTGCAAAGATTTCAAAACAAACCTCTTTCATGTTGTCATTATGGGGTATTTGTAGAATGTTGAGGGGAAAAAATAAATTTAATCCATTTTGGAATAAGGCTGTAACATAACAAAATGTGGCAAAAGTTAAGCGCTGCGAATACTTTCTGGATGTACTGTATACTTTAAAACCTTTCTCCAATGTGACCAAACTGTATTACTGTGCAACTATACTAGACAGACAAGTAATAGTGACACTCAAAAACAAAAATCTTCATATCAGTGCAGATTACTATATTATTAGAAAGTGGATATTTGTGTATAGTTGTGGTTAAGCGAAATTCACGATCACCCATGTAGCCTAAATAAGCCTTGCTATGAATTTTGTGATGACAATCAATTACAAACTATATAGCAGAGCTCAAAATTTCAAGTCCTGAGCTACTAGCCATACCTTAAGAGTTACCCACCCCTAAACATGCTCTCCTATTTATCCTCCTCCCCCATTTCATGTCCTCTTCCTCCTCCATTCCATGCCCTCCTCCTCGATCCCATGTTGTCCTCCTTCAGTCTAATCTCCTGCTATGTTGGTCCTCCCTTGCAGTGTCCTCCCTCTGCAGTCCTTCTATCCCTCCTGCACCCTCAGTACAGCCCTGATCCAGGTGATATACCTCAGTGTACTGTTTCTCCTCGGTTCCGGGGCTCACCTCGCTCTCTCGGGAGACACAGATCAAATCGATTACATTTCCATATTCAAACTTTCAGCTGCAAATCTCTCACCCTGCTCGAGCCTATTGGCCAGACTCGTCAAAAGGGGGTGGGTCCAGATGGCACATTAGGCGCTCATGATTGGACAGACTTCTGCGGGGGCAGAGAATTGTGGTGGTGGGGGGAGATGTTTGGAGAGGGCCAGGAAAGAAACAGAGCGATGGAGGAAGGTGCAGCAGCTGGAAGAGACAGCAGACAGGGCTGCTGCTGTACCTGCAGCTCTTATTTCTGTGACTCCAATCCATGTTAAAAAAGTCACTTTATTGAAACAAAAATATCCACTTACATACATAAACCACAGCTGACTGTTGTCCTAATGGAGGAGTTCTGGCTGGATGTTGTCACTCACACCTTTTGGCCACAGAGAAGAAGGAAGCCGGGGCTGTTAGCTGTCAGCAGAAGGAAAACACTCGCATTGATGATGGGAGCCACCGCAGGGTGAAGCACACTCTAGAGGGGAGAAATTGTACTCACCGGGGACATGAAGCTGGCCACAGGGATAGCACACCTTTAAGTCAAACTATCGCCGGAGGAAAAGAACCGAGAAGCTCCTCACACCGCTGGAGGACTCACCGGGTGGAACGAGCTCTCTTAGGGACGGAGGGATGGAAAAAGGAGGTAACCAATGGATGGTGAGAGATTAACCCTCTCGGTACAACCTGGAGGCCTCCCCTACAGACGCCTGCCGTGGCAACTATGGGGGCAAGGCGACCTCAAGCGGCAGCTGCACGGCGTTAAAGATGGCCCTGGGTATAGCCGCTCTCCACACTGTTCGAGCTCCTCCAGCAGCTGCACACACAGATTCCATATCCTTCTTGTTCTCCAGCACCCCCCCCCCTTTGCCTGGGACACACTTGCCTCCACATTATTTCCAAATGCGAATAGGCAAGTGGAAATTTTGAGGTCTGCTTTATAGAATATGGTGAATCTGTTTTTGACCACAACATCAGAAAGATGCTGCAAAGTTTTCTGTTGCCAATCTTTGACTTTTTTTTCATTTTACTGTAAGAATTGGGGAGAGTTTATTACTATCCCAGGTGTCCAATGAACAGTTTCACTAGTGATTACGAAAGATAGCAAAGCCAGAAGGCTACTGGAAGGATAGGCACACCTCAAGAACAGAACCAAACTGTTGGTTATACAGCCATGGCCAAAAATATGAGCACCATTGCATTTCTGTCAGATAGTGCACCACTTCACCCAAAAAAACTGTTGCAATTATAAATGTTTAGGCATTCTCATATTTATTTATTTTGTTTGTATTAATATGACACAAAAAAGTGGAAACCAAAAGCCAAATGTAACACATTCTGTGCTACAACCCCAAAAATTGACTTTTTGCGGTTGCCAAAACATCTACAATTGCAACAATTGTCTGGGTGAAGAGGTGCATTATCTGACAGAAATGCAGGGGTGCCAATATTTTTGGCCATAACTGTAGATTCCTCAGGATCAATTCACTTCGTTATATTGTAAGTTGTTATTATTATTTTGTGGCTGCCACTTTCTGCTGCAATTTGGGGTCACTGCTGATATTAATCTTCACTATAGCAAATAAGTTGTTTTAACTTCATGAATTACATCTCAATTAAAAATGGGGTATATGTAACCAATGCAGTGACTT